GGCGTACACTCACGTATTGTCCATCAAGAAGAATTCATCGTTGGAGGCGGCAATGTACGAAAGCAAAACCAATGAGAACGGGAGCGGGAGGAGGGAGTGAGGGAAGGACGGAGGTAAGGAGGGAGGGAAAGAGGGAAGGAAGGAGGGGGGAAAGGAGGGAGAGAAGTGGGGAGGAGGTAGAGAGGGAGAGATTGATTGTGAACAGAGGTCTAGTGGGAGCGAAACAGAAACAACTACACGGCTAATCGGAAAGATGCTGGGTACTAGTGCAAGCACCTCCCACCATCTAAAATCCCGTTTTGCAAGGATGCAACGCCTTGAGCATCCTTCACACGATTCACATTGGCATCACAGGAGTGTGGGAGGAGGGAGTGAGGGAAGGAGGGAGTGGAGGGTGGGAAAGAGAGAAGGCAGGGAGGAAACGCAAGAGGTGAGAGCAGGAGAGAGGGGAGGGAAGGAGAGGAAGATGCAATGTGAAGAGAGAGGTAATGAGACTATACAATTAATCTGAAAGTTTCAATGCTCAAACCCTGGCACACGATTCAACCACACATGAGTGCATGTGGTATTCAGCACACACCAGTGCATGTGGAAACGTCGGCCTGAAGTACAAAGCCAGCGTTGCAAGTGCATGACGCCACTCCAGCAGCGTTCTTGCTGCATGTGCCATTGCCGCCACACCCCTTCACAACACATGTGTCTGGATGAGTGGTTGTGGGGGAAAGGAGTGAGGTGAGAGGGAAAAGTCACTTACATCACTCACTAAGGTCACTCACTTGATAAGCGAAAGCACAGAAACTGGTGTGCCTTTGTCATTGAGTACTGGTCCAAATCATCATGGCACTTGCAACACTAACCATGCAAGACGACGTATCCTAAGGCGTGGGAGATGGCATTTCACAAGGCGTGGCACTTACCGGTGCACGTCTTGCCATCCGCCTGCAGCACGTAGCAAGTTTCACACACACACAAGACGTTGCTTGAGTAGTAGCTTCCTTGGTGCATTGGTCGTTTGCACCACAGCTCTTGATTATGCAAGTGTCTGGGTGGGAGGAGAGGAGTGACGGGGGAGGGGAGTGAGGAGGGGAGGAAATGGGCCAAGATAGTGTAGAAGGGAGGTGAAGAGGAAGAGATAAATGAAGGGGATTTTGGAATGAGTTGTGCATACAAGGAGTGTGAGTAGAGACATGGACATAAGGAATATGGGAAGGTTCAGCAGGAAAGAGGCAAAGCGAGGGAGGGGTAAGCAGTGACGACTGAAGGGAAAATGAGACTAAAGATGGAGGAAATGGGGGAGGTAACATGAGAGCAAGGAGGGAAGGAGAGAGGGAACGAGGGAGGGAAGGAGGGAGAGAAGAGATGAAGGAGGGAAGGAGGGAGGAAAGGAGGGAGGGAAGGAGGGAGGGAAGGAGGGTCGGAAGGAGGGACGTAAGGAGGGAGGGAAGCAAGGAGTTGGGAGAGAGGGAGAGATTGACTCTGAACAGAGTTCTAGTGGGATCAAAACCGTATCAAATACACGGCTAATCAATAAGATGCTGCGAACCAGTGCAAGCACCGTTCACCATCTGGAAGCCCGTGTTGCGAACACAGGATGCCACGCCCCGAGAGTCCTTCACGCAAGCAGCATTGGCATCACAGTTCTTAATGATGCATATCACTGAAAAGAGATCAGCACGAAAGCAAATCGATGAGAACATGAATGGGGAGGAGGGAGTGAGGCAAGGAGGGAGTGGAAGGTGGGAAGTGTTAGAAGAGTAGGAAACGATTTGATTGACTATCGAGAGAGTTGGGTACAAGGAAGAGAACCCTAAGGGGTTGTACCCCACATTGTCTACCCCACTACAGCCTGCCCACAATCATAACATATATATATCGTTTGACACACCCCCATAGGCAAAGTGGGGGAGAAAAAGGGGTCACAAGACCAGTCAAGAAAGGCAAAGCAAGCTCAGGGTGGATCACAACGTCACCACACACTCCGAGCACAGGTAAATGGCCACAAGGCCAGTTCACATGCAGAGGTATATAGGAAACAGCAACAATACAGTGATCACTACCTAGCAAGAGCAAGCAAGCAGGTATATATATAGATCACAGTACAAGCAAGGTCACGAAGTGAGCAAGTGAGACGAAATAGGCACAAGGCCTAACACAGTACAGAAGCGCTGATGATCACTAGACGGAAGTGCCTTGGTGAATATATCAGCAATGTTGGCCCGAGTGGCCACGTAAACAACACGAAGCTGACCACACTGCTGCAGCTCTCGAGCAAGGAAATAACGCAGAGCGATGTGCTTCGTTCTGTGCTCCAGTCTGTGCTCCTGACACAAGGTAATGGCAGCCTTGTTGTCTACGTACAGAACTGGAGGAGAACGAGGCCTCTCTCCCAAGTCGGTCAGCAGGTAGGTGAGCCAGCGTAACTCCTATGCAGCCATGGCTGTGGCGTAGATCGCAGCATCACAACTGGAGCTGAGAACAGAAGACGAGCAGGTAGACCGCCAAGAAACAGAGCCGCAAGCAAGGCTGAAGGTGTAACCCTGTGACGACCGCTACGTAGCCAGGTCGTCAACCCAAGACGCGTCTGAGTGTCCAGTGAGGACAACCTCACCCCGTCCTCCAAGCACGAGCCCCATGCCCGATGTACTGCACAGGTAACGCACTACCCTCTTTGTAGCATCCATATGCTCTCGTCGGTGTCTCCCAGGCGCAACGTAGCGAGCCAGGATGCTAAGAGGGTAGGCAAGGTCAGGTCGAGTGCAGGTCATCAGGTACATGAGGCAGCCCACAAGCTCTGGATACGGGCCACTCAGCTCTACGGACTCATCCGAAGAAAGCCACTCGCGTAGCTGCTGTCGCGTGAGAGGTGGCCGCTGCGACGCGGCACCAGGAGAACCGCTAGGAGACTCAGCACCCCCAGAACTAGCACCTCGAGCTCCAGCAGTACCACCAGTCCTGGCAACTCCAGTACCCCCAGTATGAGCACGTCCAGAACCAGAAACACCAGCACTCCCAGCGTCTCCACGACCTCTAGCTCCAGCAGCTCCAGCAGCAGAAAGAGGGATACCCGGAGGAACGCCAGCAGACTCAGCACCCGCGGACTCGGTACCCTCTGGCTCAGCACCCCCAGGCTCCGCACCCGCAGGCTCAGCACCCCCAGGCTCTGCATCCCCCAGCATCTCACGCACCCCCAGGCTCAGCACCCCTAGACGCAGCACCCCGAGCAACACCACCCCAGCAGCACCAGAGTCAACAGGAACCGGCTGCAGAGGCGGCGAAGACGGTCGAGGTGGAAAACCCGGAGGGGTCGCCAAGCGTGGTGAGGGGGGGGGGGGGGCACCGCGTCGTCAGCAGCAACGTCACCCCCCTCAGCTGGGCCAGAGGTGTCGGAAGTAACCTTGACGGGCTCAGCCAAGGGGAGCGGGTCTACCTGAGACACACCTGAAGGAGCAGGACCCAGAGGGGGGGAGGGGGTCTACCGGAGGGGGACCTTGAGTGAGGAAAAGCGGCGGGGGAGGGAGAGGGGCACGGCGGTAGGGGAAGAGACGGTAGAAAGGAACCGACTCGTCAAAGGTGACGTCGTGAGAGGGGAAATCACGGCGCGAGGTGACGTGGTAAAACTGCCAGCCAGGCGCATCAGGGACAAAGCCAAGGAAGACACAGGGAATGGTGCGGGAGGAGAGCTTGTCCACGGACGTATCGCGGACAAAGGCATGAGCACCCCAGACCCGGAACACCGACGCATCGCCAACCTCTCCCGTCCAACGCAGTGTGGGCGAGGTGTCCGGCAAGGAGACACGGGGCCAGAGGTTGAGCTGCTGCGCGGCGTACCGGACCGCAAACGGCCACAAAAAATGGGGAGCCGCCGCATTGATCAAGGAGGTACGAGCAACCTCCATGACCAAGCCAATGCGGTGCTCAGCAACCCCATTTTGCTGCGGTGAGCCCGGAAGCGCGAAGGACTGCTCAATGCCCTCCCCCTAACAGAAGGCTCGCAAGAGGTCAGAGGTGAACTCACCACCTCTGTCAGAGTGCAGACGCAGGACAGGAAGGTTCGCACAGAACCTTTGGCGGAGCTGGAGACGAACTGCTCGGATCCAAGGGATCAGGACAGCAGGGACCTCACCCTTGGTGCGCAAGGGTAAGATTGTGGTGTAAGGCGAGTAGTCGTCTACAACCTGCAGAAAGTACCGCTCACCGCCCTGTCCACGAACGCGGGCTGGGCCCCACACGTCCAGGTGGAGGGTCTGGTCTGCAAGGGAGCCTCTATCGGGGGAAACGAGGAGGAGTGAGGAGCAGCGCGCTGCCGCCCCTCGATGTAAGGAAGGCAGGGCGATGCAGGGGAGGCAGGGAGGGGAGGGAGAGACCTGGGAAGACCAGACACAAGGAGGCGATGGTGCATGCCACTAGGCCCGTCGAAGTGTTTGGGGCCAGAACTTGGAGCCCTCAGCTGCTCCAATACATGCCCTTATTTTCACGGGCGTAGGCCAAAGTCAACACTTGAAATCCGGGCTCTGGTAGTGTGTGTCCTTGAGGTTATGAAAAAAAACTAAGATCGGGTGCAGAGAATGGGATCGAGCGTGCGCTTGTCTGCTACGGGAAAGTGTGTCTGGTCGCCACTATTCTCACACCACACCTGGCACCTTAAGGTGAATACTTAAAGGGGGTCGGGGCGGGGGCAGAGGGTCGGGGGTCCTTCAAATCAGAATCAATACTTGAATTCAGGGGAAGACCCAAATGAAGCCCTTAACTGTCACGGTCTCCATGCGAATCAAGAATTTTAAATGGTCGAGCTGCTCTCAACCTAGCCCGGAATATTCATGGCATTAAGGGCAAATGCCCTTACTTCGTCAGCCTTGCATGCCACGTAGCCGTGGCAAGGAGGGGTGACTCAAACAGTGGTGCCAGAGAAGAGTCTGGTGCGACAGGGAGCGACACTCACAACGGGAGGCTACCAGACGCAGACACCTGACCGACAGCAGCGACCTGAGGAGACACAGTCGTCAGTGTGTAAAGACTCGACCCTGGCCGACGAGTGAACGTGGCCAGGTGACGGCCAGTCTGTGCACACGTGCAGATCGCCATACGCTGCCATGCAGGGGTGTAACCCCCACATCCTGAAGGGCAGCGTTGCTCACCAAGTTTGTCGAGAACGGGGGGAGTTGGAGACCTGATAGTGAGCCAGACGGGACCGCCGGGCACGGAAGCACAGTGGTGGACCGTGCAAGAACTGGCCCCCTTGAGGGGTCAGCCAGAGAGATGGCGATAAACGCAGGGAGCGGTGTGAGTGCGGTACTGTCACGAAAGAAACAGCAAGAAGCACCTGAGTAAAGCGTGAATGTGTGCAATGCCTCAGCAGGCGCAGTACCGGAGAGAGCAAACTCGCCTGCACCGAAGGCAGTAGCCTCTATACCTGAGTCAAGTGTGAAGGTGTGCAAGGCCTCAGCAGGCGCAGTACCTGAGAGAGCAGACTCGCTCGCACCTAAGGCAGCAGCCTCTATACCTGGGTCAGGGAGCATACACAGGTAACAAACACCATCAGCACTAACTTCCAATGCATACATAGCAGAGATAATAGCATCAAAGTCAAGAGCAAAAATGTCTACACCAGCCTTAAGCAGCTCATGCCACCGAGGGCGCTCATACTCCTCGCCCATCTCCTCACGCCAGGCGTCGTCAAGGCGGGAGAAGCAGCGGTGCTGGGTGTGAAACTTGTTGCACGTCTGACCCTTGCGATCACCTGTGCGAATTTCATATGGGCAGCGACCACCACCCCCAGACTTCCCACGCTGAGCAAGCCACGAACGAAGCTGCTGGGGCGTCTGAGAATGCTGCTGCTGCTGCTGGCTCTGGCCAGCGCCAGTGCCTCCACCCCGACCGCCACCGCCGCCGCCACCCCCTCCGCCGCCACTGCCTCCACCGCCGCTACCACTCCCGCCAGCACTCCTGCCACCAGTCCCTCCTCCACCTCCTCCTCCTCCACCACCACCCCCCCAGTGCCACCTCCGCTACCCTAGGCTCCCTTGCCCTTGTTATTGCGGCGCCTCCCACTAGGAGCAGAAGCAGCACCAGCAGACTCAGCACCAAGGAAGTCAACAGCAGCAGCAGTAGCGAAGGAGGGGGCGAGGGGAGAGGGAGAGCACCCCTCAAAGATGGGGGCGCAAGGAGCGCCACGACCAGCACCTACAGCGCTTATGCTCTTCTCTGCTGCAAGGAGGTGCTCCTCTAGGAGGTCGACAGTGAGCTCGGTGGGACAGCGAGCGAGAAAGTAGTCCGTGACCGAGCTAAGAGAGCCAGGGAGACGGGTGACTATGAAGTGGAGGGTCCAGTACATCGGAGGCGGGTTCTTAGTACAGAATTCTCTGGGGAGGGCGGCGCGAAGGCGAGTGTCACTAGTGCGAAGGTGGGTGATGAGATCGCGCAACGGTGGCAAAGGTGGACAGCTCAGGAAACAGGTACGGCAGCATGAGGCGGCTAAGCTCAGCAGTGGCAGGGGAGGAGTATCGAGCAACTACAGCGTCGTACAGGGCCTTAGCGGTTTTGTGCTCACCAAAATGCGTGAGTTCGGCTAGCGGTACGTGGTTGCGAACGGCTAGGCGGGCAGCAGCGTCACGAGTCTGCCACTGGGAACGGACGCTAAGCTCAGCTGTGGCATCAGGAGCAACTGAGGCGCCAGACGTGTGGTCATAAAGAGAGACGTTGTCCTTGCTATCGCTTATCAAGGAGGAACAGCTGCAGGTCATCCAGCCAGGTGTCGAACTGAATCGGGCGGCCCTCAGCATCGACCGAAAGAACGCGGAGGGTGGCTATAGTTGCCGGCGCGGGACTAGCAGGGCAGAGCAATGGCAGGCAAGAAGCAGCAGCAGGGGCAGCGCGCTAGAGCGTAGAAGGCTGCCGTGGCAGGAGCAGGCGGCGCACGGGGCTACAGGCGGTCTGCAAGGCAGCAGGGCAGGCCGCGCGCAGGGCGTAGCGGGCGGCTGCAGCAGCAGGGAGGGCGGCCCACGGGCGCAGCAGGCAGCCGCGGCAGTAGGGCAGGCGGCGTAGCAGGCAGCCGCGGCAGAGGCAGGTGGCGCGCGGGGCTACAAGGGCGGCAGGGCAGGAGGGCGGGCGGCGCGCAGGGCGTAGCGGTCGGCTGCGGCAGCAGGGCGGGCGGCGCACAGGTGCAGCAGGCAGCCGCGGCAGCAGGGAAGGCGACGGAGCAGGCAGCCGCGGCAGCGCGCAGGCTGCTAGCGGGCAGCGTGCGGGCTGGCAGGAGCCACGCGCGGGCTGCGCGTGCAGCTGGCGGGACGCCCGGGCCGCCAGCAGAGGCGACGCGCGGGTCGCGTGGGCTGCTAGCGGCGACGCGCGGGCCAGCAGAGGCGACGCGCAGGTCGCGCGGGCTGCTAGCGGCGCAACGCAAGAAAGGGCAGGGCGTGCGCGGGGCTGCGCGACGCAGGGCAGGGCAGGCAGGGCGCGGGGTAACGCGGTAACCGCAGGCGGTTTAGGGTGGGCCCGAAAAAAACACTTCTAAGGTCCTAAGTGTTTTATTCATAATAGGCTCCAATAGGCCTAGAACCAAAGATAGAGTGCGCAGTCAGATTTCTGCACAGCGGCTTCAAACGATCATAGCGATCTGGTCACAGCTCCAATTGACCTCATTCAACCTGGATCTGGAGCGTTTTAACGTGCCCTACAATAAGCAATTTAGATCGCACGATTTCATTAAGAATTGACGACACAGCGTCAGATTGAACGAATGGCACTATGGCAGCAACTTAGTCTAGAAGGCACAATTACGAACAACTAGGAAGAGTTACGAGTTGGGAAGGACTCCCAGCTCCTACAAACCCCAAGAGCCGAGGTACAGTGATGTGGAACAGTGCCACACTGTCCCCAACCAAGAAGGGTCTCGAAACTACCCTCCACAAGGGCCTACACCCATAGAAATGTTACACTACACATTGTAATGTAACTATCTTCAATATCTTGAGGTGTAGCCTTTTGACGAGCTTCGAAAGTACTTGAAACTTGAACCAAGGCTCTGGTTCTTTATAAAAAAAACTCATCCTTGAGTTCTTGATGGGTCTGCTGCACACACCTGCGACACGCCGAACGTTCGACATAGGACAAAATAGAAGCCGCACAGGGGACAAGCGACAAAACAGAAACCGCGCGGGAGACACAAATGAACACATTAACACGCGGCTAGCGATAACTCGCTATTGACTCGACACACACACACTCGATACATGACCCATCAAGCACACACTATTATGAGCCTGGAAATATATATTTATTTCATGCACTCATACCACTCCATGCACGCACACGCACACGGACAACAAGCCGAGTGCAAGCCATAGGGTTGCACCAACACTAAGGACCTCTTGCTCTTAATACCATGTTTGAAGAGTAGGAAACGATTTGATTGACTATCGAGAGAGTTGGGTACAAGGAAGAGAACCCTAAGGGGTTGTACCCCACATTGTCTACCCTACTACAGCCTACCCACAATTATAACATATATATATAGTTTGACAGGAAGGAGTGCAGGTACGGAGGAAACAGAAGAGAGAGGAGAAGGAGAGAAAGGAGGGAAGGAGAGAGGGAGAAATGATGTGAATACAGAGTTTTTGAGACTATACAAATAATTCAATAGATTCCACGCACACACCCTTGCAATAGATTCCATTGCACAGATTGTGCTGCACTGCATAGTACGACACACACTTCTAAGAGTTCATGCAGTCACGCACTCTACCTTGTTTGTTGGACAGCATATAGCAGCATATATGAGTGCATGTGGGATTCAGCATACAGGAGTGCATGTGGGATTCAGCATATATAAGTGCATGTGGGATTCAACACACATGAGTGCATGTGGGATTCAGCACACATAAGTGCATGCGTGATTCAGCACACATGAGTGCATGCGGGATTCAACACACATGAGTCCATGTGAGATTTATCACACATGAGTCCATGAGGCCTCAGGGTCCCCCAAGACCTAGCAGAGGCCCTGCAGAGTGATACAATCGCTCTTAGAACGTCCCTGCACAGAGGCTAGTTTGAAGGTGGTACTGGCACGGCCCGGCATCACGTCTACGGAAAGCCAGTCTGCGCTGGGAGTTGGACTACGGGGAAAGGCACGGGTGGTACAAGTGATTGTAGCATTTGCTCGTGTTCTCTCTACATGCGCATTAACAGGGAACTCTTTTTAAATATGGCATTGACAGGATTCGACTAAGTCTGAGCACAGTCTGAGCTGTGGATGTTCACATCCACATGCACTCGCAGCACATGGACCAGTACATTTACAAGCCTGGTCCCTGATTTTGGAAGACGACGCCAAACAGAGGAGTTATTAGAACACCGTGTTTCCTAGGCAGGTTGTGGCGATGCTTCCATTGAGCATGGTAGAGTGCGAACGAGGCTTCTCCAAGCCGAACTTTATTAATACTCGGGGACGTGAATGGCTTTCTGATACCGTAACATCTTTGGCACCAGCTTGGGGCCAGCGTGGGGCATCTGATGCGCAACTCTCTGTTGGAGGGAATACCGCATGGACTGGTTTGAGGTGGTGGATGGATGTCTTCCGTAGAAGAACTGTTATGAAGAACCGTCTCCAGCAACATGGCTTTGAAGTGATAACAGCTAGTTGTACGCAGTTTCTAGTTGAGCCTGCAAATAGGGAGTGAAGTACCGTATTCTCCCGGACATCACACCCCCCTGTAATTGTACACCCATGGGTAGCTTGTGCGGGGTGGGTGCTATGGGTGACATCGTTTCTACTATACCCCCCCTTTTGGGGTGATTCTCTATAACACCCCCCTTTTCTTACGTATTCATTATTATACTCGTTAACGAGCAGGTGCAATTCGGAAGAATATCGTGATAATTTATCCCTCGATGAAATTTCGCGTTATTTTCACTTACATCTGCCGAGATTTCCCCACCTCCCACTATTTCGCTGTCGCCACGTGCTGGTGAATCTTCCCTTGGAAGTGGCCAGAGAGGTGCCACATGGCATTTTCGTAGGGGTGATGAAATTCGCGGTTAAAACTCACATTTGCGCCTCAGACAGTGCCCTAGATATCAGACTTTTTAGTATGATTCAGAGTCCATTCAGACTAATTTTTTGTACCTAGTCTAAAGTCTAGGAATTTTTTTTATGTACCTTGTCTGATTTTTCAGAGTTTTTTTTTTTTTTTTTTTAGTGAATTGTATGAAATTTCAGCCTAATTTTATTAGTGTAGGCTGAGCCTTATACTTGTATTGGGGGTGCACTCTGAAACCGGTAATACGTGTCAAGAAAGCTAGGCTTAAACGATAGAACTAGGAAAGATGGATTTTTCACTAGCAGGCAGTTGAGTACATATAGCAAACCCTAATTTGGGCTGTACTCGCTATAGAGCACCCCACTGCAGGCTAGACAAACATCACATTCTGACACACCCCCATAGTCAAAGTGGGGTACAATCAACACAACAAGCAGGCAGAGCAGTAGTTCACAATTATAAGCAAAGCTAGAGGCTATCACAGAGAGCAAGTGAGGAGGAGGAGAAACTGTGGGGGCGAGAAGATGCGAGACGACGGCTGAAGTTGCAGACACACTGGCAACAGTAGTGCGAAGCACTGTCGCTACCAGGCTAAACCCGGACTACACGGCGACAGGCGCAGCTGGCTCGCTGTGCTCCCAGGAGTGCGCAGCACTGTCGCTACCAGGCTAAACCCGGACTACACGGCGACAGGCGCAGCTGGCTCTCTGGACTACCAGGAGTGCTCACACTGTGGCTACCAGGCGCAGAGCCCCGGACTACACGGCCACAGGGGGTCGTGGCTCTCTGGACTTCAGGCACTGCGAACGACAAGACAGCCTCTACTCAACTTCCCCCAGCTGTCCCACACCCCTTTCACACACTCCCTGTTGAACCTCTAGCACCGCTCACACGCCACCCCCCTCGTACCACTCCAACGGCTCCAACACATCCAACCCCCTCAGCGGCAGCTGCAGCAGTGGGAGATGGAGGAGGAGGAGGAACAAGGGATGGCTCACACACACGGCACCCCCATACTCTCCACCCCCAAACCCTAACACAGGAGCGCGGGCAGCAGCGGGGGTGGGGCGCGGTCAGAAGCTCGGGGGACGGCGTGCGGCACTTGGGCAGACTGTACGGGCCGCGCACGGGCCTGGCGCAGGCTGTACGAGCCGCGCGCGGGCTGTACAAACCGCGTGCGGGCCTGGCGCAGCCCGTACGGGCCGCGCGCGGGCCTGGCGCGGGCCTGGCGCAGGCCGTACGGGCCGCGCGCGGGCTGTACGGGCCGCGCGCGGGCCTGGCGCAGCCCGTACGGGCCGCGCGCGGGCCTGGTGCAGCCCGTACGGGCCGCGTGCGGGCCTCGCGCAGGTCGCGCGGGCCGCGGCCGGTGTCGGGGGGCGACGCGCGGGTCCCCGGGGGCTCCACGACGGGCGACGGGGGGCGACGCGCGGGTCGACGGGAAGAAAAAACGCCGCGCGCTCTGAGCGCGCGGCAGGCAGAAAACATCGCGCACGCCGGGCGTGCGATAGGCAGAACAGCAGCGGAAGCATCGGGCGGGACCACCCACAGGATCGACCCAGGAGGGTCGACCTGCTCTGATAGCATGGCTTAAACGATAGAACAGGAAAGAGGGTTTTCACTAGCAGGCAGTTGAGTACATATAGCAAACCCTAATTTGAGTTGTACTCGCTATAGAGTACCCCACTGCAGCTATACAAACATCACATTCTGGCAATACGGGCGGCGTATAGCACAAACAACGTCAATCACGGGCGGGAAACCAGATTTTCACGAGCGCGGCACCGCTTAGTTGCGTTGGTATGCTGTAATCAACTTCAATGCTATTATAACTATGCTTTTACGAAACTGCATGATCATCTTAAAATTTTGAAGATAACTCTGACAATTCAGACAAAAAAAAAAAAGCTTGTCTCAATTTTCATACTAAAATTTTGAGGCACCTTTGACAGACAGAGATCCAGGAGGGGTGTACACTGTGTTGTGTGATGCTATCATTCGCAATCACGTCTGTCTGCCACCCATCAAATGTTCGTTCGTTGCATGCGTGGTGTGAGTGTGCGCAAGAGTTTGTGTTTTGTGCGGTTTGGATTTCCTAAGTGTGTGTGAATGTTATTGGAATTGGGCAGATAACTGAAGTGACTCATCTGCTCAAGAGCTTTCCGACGGTCCAAGAATCGTCGCAATCGGAGCAAGAACAAGAAAGTTGCGAACGTTGGAGTCGTATACTTTATGTACTTTGGTTGCGGCGACTGTGGGAAGTTGTGGGGTTGACTCAATATGGGGTACAGACTTTTGGGGTTGGGAAATTCGAACCCATCACTGTAGATGCTGCCAAGTGGTTGGGTGAAGCCAAACCAGGTTGGCAAGTGTGGCCAAGTTGGGGTGAGGTGGATGTCATGAGTTGGAAAGTGACAAAGGTAGAAGTGGGGTTGCCATAGGGAGGAGATTTGGTATGGGGTTTCCTTGGTTGGAGACTCCCTTGGGACCTTCCCTCTCGTCCTCCTCTTCCCTCCTACCTGGTTTAGTGCTACTCTCAGGCCCCACGTTATCAGGGCAAAACATTTTGATTACCCTGAAATCAGGATGCAGTTTTGAATTTGCCTTATAATTTCATAATAGTGACAATTTTAACCCTGTGGTCTCAGGATGTTGTTGTATGAAATACCCTGGACATTCAAGATGGTCGTGATGTTCTTCCCTGAAGCGTCAGGATGAATGTCGAGGCTTGCCTTGACACGTTTTTTGAGGGGGGGTTGGGGGGGGGGGGGCGCTGATGTCAAGCGTATTGCTCGCCCCCCTTCGCGAAGGGGGTGGGGGGGAAGGGGGGGGAGGGGGGGGAAGGGGGGGAAGGGGGTGCGAAGGGCCCCCCCCCCCCCCTTCGCCCCCCCCCCCCACCCCCCCATCAGCGCGCGAAGGGGGTGCGAAGGGGGCGCCCCCACCCCCCTTCGCCACCCCCCCCCGCTTTGACATCAGCGCCACTCCCATCAGCTAACGAGGGGCGCGCGAGGGCGCTAACGAGGGGCGCGCGAGGGCGCTAACGAGGGCGCACGAGGGCGCTACGAGGCTAGGGCACGGGGTAGCGTGGTAACCGCATGCGAGCGGTGGTGGGCCCTTAAAAAAAAACGGTCGGTAGGTCCTAGGGACCTCCTGCTCTGAATACCATCTCAAAGTAACTAGGCAAGAATGAATGAACTAGCAGAAGTTTGGGTACAAATATGAAACCCTAGTTGGGGTTGTACCCCATATTGGCTACCCCACTACAGCCTACAAGCATAATACAGTTTAACAGGAGGGTGGTTCCTGATGCGGTTGCCACGCCCCCTATTTTAGGCGCGAAATTTTGCGAAGTGGCATTCAGCCAAACCTATTCCCCGGGTTCTGCCCCCGGGTCCTGATTCTACGGCCATACCAATGCCGTCGATTTTTTTTTTTCAAATTGCCATCTGACAAACACGACCAAGAAGTCTCAAGTTTCATGCCCGCCGGTTTCAGGTTTCCTACCCAAGTTGCCTGCATGACACATTTGGGGTGCAGACGATCCAATACCTACATGTTTTTTTTTTTTTTTTGGTGGCGAGAGTTTGAGGAGATGCAACGGAGGCTTTTCAGAGCACCAAGCTTTCTTATCAGACTTGTGACTCCGGTTTAGGGCCCCGGGATCCTAGAGTTCTAACTTAGGAAGGTTTGGGGCAAGGAACACGAATGGCTCGCGAACCAGGGTGTTGTTAAAATCGGTGGTTGCGGGCCGCAAAGTTGAAAATTTCGCGACCGAGTCGATGCTCAGCGTGTCACAACTGGAAATTCACTCACTCGCGAACAGTTTTTTCCCGTGGAGTGACTAGATTGAGCATCGTGAAATTTTTTTTGGTACAGTCACCAAAATACGGAAGTCAACATTTACAGTTCGTAAACGACAATGAATGCATGTCGTCAGAGTGTTGAATTGGTTACGAAAATTAAAGCCCCACATTCCACTTTCATTGCACTCTCATTTTACAATCACAGTTTTGTCTAGGGCGACGAGAACGAAAGTTTGCGAAAATTGGCGAAACGCTAAAACTCGTTTCGCGCACATGCCGCCCGGCTAACACGTGTTCTTCTAGTGGGCAATGACGGGGATGGTCTGGCGCGGTTAGGGTGGTACGAATCTGGCCTTAGGTTGTAGGGCGAAAAAAAATATTTTTGCGCTAAGCTCTTATACACCGCACATTCCTCACTACATCCGGAGCAGTATTAATCGCACAGCTGCGGACGGAATCGTGACACAGTAACGGGTCGCGCCAAGACGCGAATTGTTAAGCACTCATAGGGAAAGGGGTTCGTGCCAGATTTCCACCGCGTGTTGCCCTTATTTACAATAGTAAGCTAAACACTCCTCACATCCTCAACGCGCAGGACATGAAACACCCACAACATTGGTCGCGCGGCTTTTGCGGCAAACCCACGCCCCACGGATGCAGAACGTGCGATATGAGAGGCGATATCCAGGGCAGTCTCAAGAGGTTGGGACAACGGCCGATTCCCGATAGGTTTGGAAAGATGCACCCTCAGCAGCACGACAGCGTGTGAAATGCAAGGCATATTCGCACGCCCGTCTATTGACCGTCTACTGACTGGACCGCCCCTGAAAAAACCCACGACTTCTCTCTAGGAACCCCATACGCAACTCGAAGCATGAGCATACAGCCCTTTTATATTGTCGTGTGATGCTGGCCAGTCCTCGTTAAACTACCAGCGCCATGAGTACCCAAACATACTTTCAATGCTTCGGAGTGAGGCGCATGAATGCTCGTTTCCTCGTGAACAAAGGAGATCATTCGGGCATAGACCCGACGCTCGGGGATACACTTTTGCTGGAAGATAGTGGGTGTGCGCGTCAATGCGCAAACACCCGCAACAGTCGCCCATGCATCCATCCCCCGGGCGGCGAGGGCGAAGAAGCTCTACAAATTCTCGCTTAATACTATTCATCTCCATCAAGAAGCTTTACAAATTCTAAAAAAACTTCATCAATGACAACAAAGCTTCTCAAGCTTCTTCATCAAGCTCCTCTCTAAGCTTCTCCTTCAAGCCCCTCAAGTCAACTTCTACTATAAAGGCTTCTTGCTAAGCACTCAAGTTCGATGTCTCCAAAGCTGATACTCTCATGAAACTCTCTTTCAAGGCTAGCATTGATGTCTACTCTTTCTATGCATGCCTATGTATCCCTCATGGATCTATACCCTTGCTCATCATCTATGATGCCTATGTATACCCTTCGTAATATAAGTTTATGCTTATAGAGTTCTCTCTCACCTAGTCTATACAGTAGTAATCAAGTGAAGAGTAATCTATCTCATACTTTCTAAGAGGATGAAAAAGTTACAAGCTACAAGTTAAAGGAAGGATCGTCATCTATCACAAGGCTTGAAGCTTCTCCCAAGTAAAGTTTTCAAGTTGAAGCTATTCTTATAAGCTACTTCTACAACCATTTCCAGTAAAAAGTGTCTATATATTTTTTATTCTCTCAACAAGATTTCATTTTCATACTTCCCTTTGAGTTCTTATCCTATCAAGCACTTCATCGTACGCAAGTTTCTCTTTATAGTCACAAGCTTTTGCATTATCTTCTCTTTTGTACTACCACTGTTAAACATTTGTGCTATTCTAGTGTACAATCATACCCTTTTATCTCAATTCTCTACAGGAAATTGGGATATCTGGGTTTTTTTTGTTAAACCTTTGCAAAGATCTACGAAACCCTTGCAGCTGTGCGGGGGGTGGCGGGAGGTTGTGTCGCACCAACATGGGGGTTTGATGATTCGTGAAAGCCTCCGGCCGTAGTGTGTGGTGCTGTGCTGTCCTGTCCACCCACCAAATGTCGCACGGGCAATAGAAAAGGGCCATAAGGTTTTGCATTGCAACTGTCCAGAAGGGGCACTTTTCGGTACTCGATCGTGTAGGCCGAATGTCGCACATTATGTTTTTGCTTGACGCGTGTTCGTGGGGAAGAGTAGCTTCTCTCCATGATTTGTCGCAACTAGCAATACACCCTCACTTTGGGGAGCTGTGGTACAAAACGTTTCAGTAGGATACAGTTTGTTTTCAGTATGGTGAATTTCAAACACCGAATTTCTTTAGAGCGTGAAACATTGGCGTCGTTGGCAACAAGAGGAAGGGGTCTCGGAGATGGCGTACGGGGGCGAAGCGGTCTCGGAGATGGCGCGCACGTGTATGGCGGTCTCGGAGATGGCGCGCAGGGGGGGTGACGGGCTTGGTGATGGCGCGCAGGGGGGATGGCGGGCTTGGTGATGGCGCGTAGGTGGGGTGGCGGGCTTGGTGATGAGGGACGTGCTGAGAAGAGTGTGGGCGTGACCCGAAGTGTGGCTCAGGGACGGGGTTGGGGTGGACGGGGGTGGGGTGGGCGTGGTGGGGTCAGCTGTGGGGGAGGTGGACGTGGGGGAGGCGGACGTGGGGGAGGCGGACGTGCGGGAGGCGGACGTTAGGGAGGCGGACGTGGAGGGGCCGGACGGGGTGGGACCTGGCGGGGGGAGGGCGGACGGAGGGGAGGGGGGGGGGGGGGGCGTGGGGTTGGGCGGACGCCGGGAGGGAGGACGAGAGGAGGCGGAGGTGGGGAGGGCAGGCGTGGGGAGGGCAGACGTGGGGAGGGCGGACGTGGGGAGGGAGAACGAGGGGAGGGCCAACGAGGGGAAGGCTAAGTTGGGGAGGGCGGACGTGGGGAGGGAGGACGAGGGGAGGGCGCTGATGGCATGGAGGGAGTGGGACTATAGGTTCTGGTGGCGGTAGTAGCCAGCCCGCAGATCCGCGGAGTCCCTCTAGGTCATCGGCGGGCACCCCTGCCCCTAGAGGCCATGGTACCGCAGCAAACAGTGAGCGCGGCCTCGCCTCGCCATCGAGCTGGAATAAGCGTCGTAAACGCTCTGACGGCAACCAAGTTGCACATCAGCTGGAGGTGCTCACGGTGGTGACCGAGCGTGGCATCACCATGCGCCACACGGGTGAGCCGTTGTGAGACGTGTTGGCCTATAGTAGTTGCTCTGTCCTCACTGCTGATGCACTAACGCGGTCAAACACTCGGTCACAAGATGTAATATGCAGCAGCTGCCATCACCGTTTTGTACACGTCCCCTTTTTGCCCATTTCTGATAAACCTCGAGTGTGCTGCCTAATTTTGATCTGCCCCAATTGGCTCGGCCCATTTCTGATCTGCCCTGAAGTCCTCTTCCCTCAAGTGCTCTCCCCCTATGTGCTCTCTACTTCGGGCCATGCCCTACCACGCAATGGTATCATGTATTCTACTACGGTGCACGGTAATTGCCGATGAGTACCCGCAAGTGATGCAGGTTGTTGATGTGGCTGGGGCCATGGAGGACCTCACACCTGTGCAGAAATCCATTGTTTGTGAGCGCTTCAGTAAGATCAGTAAGAACCAGGTCGAGGCGGCTGTGTTTCTGCGCCAGCGTCCAGAGACACGTTGCGCATACATACAATGGGTGGCCAATGTTGATAACAGCAGGCGTAGTTCTCACATCATAACTTATTTTTTAATTTATTACATGTTTCCTGCCCCCTTTCTAGAGCCTTATACAAAAACATTGACACGTCAAAGTGGTTGTAGAATCTGTAAACAAACAATGTTACCTTAACAACATTCAGGCATGTCCAAATTCTGCCCATAATCGCTCTGCTATGCCATCCCTTCGATGTTGGCCCATTCTTGCAGATTCACGAGGGCCCACACCTGGCTCCGGCACAGGAGCATTCCGTTGGCACAATTCTCTATCCAGAATTCCTTCTAAGAGGTCCTCATCGTCCAGGAAGTCTGCGCCACCATGTTGCTTGATGTATTTGTGAATAATGCAACATGCTTGCACGAAAGTACACTACAACGCAAAACTGTAGGGCCGCGTATGTTTGAGAGTGGGGAAACGGGCCTTGAGCTGTCTGAACGCATGCTCTATGTGCGTTTTAAGGGATGAGCGAGTCCAATTGAACATCTCCTCCTTGTTCCACGGTTGGAAGCCCGACCCTTACCATCGACGTAGATGGTACATGATAGTCATATAAACGTAGAGTTGACGAGAAGAAAGGTGCCATTCGGGATAACCAACGACTAGGTAAGGGTGTGCTGGAATATTGTGGAATCATGTGTTGAACCCTCACAGCCCACCATGAGGTATATGAATTCGCCCGTGAAGGACACGGCCGCAAGCACGCCCTGTGATACGTTTTTGTGTCGGTCGAGAAATGACTGTTGCTCACTCTTTCTTATGCACGCTGCGATTAGGGCCCCATCTATTGCTCCTATGGCTCCTGTGAAGTGCCTGCACCGTGGGTTACTCATCGCAATGTACTTGTCGTACAACGAGCAAACAGCCCACGCAACGATCCGGATGGTATGACTTATCGTGCTACCGCTCCGCTGCCAAGTCTCCTGCATCACCCTGTTTAATGCCAATTGTCCTAGAATAGTAGCTGTTCGGCGGGTGTCTGGCTACGCACTTCAATGTGTCAGTGATAACGGACTGGAATGGTGAACTAGAAAGGATTGTGAGTACAAATATGAAACCCTAATGTTGTGACCCCCCTATAGGCTAACCCACTACAGCCTACACAAACACAACACATATAATGTTTGACACACCCCCATAGGCAAAGTGGGGGAGACCTAGGGGTCACAAGATCAGTCAAGGCAAAGCAAGGCAACAACAAGCTCAGGGTGGATCTCAAGGATACCACACAAATTCCGAGCACAAGCTAGTGGTCACAAGACCAGTTCACATGCAGGTTTATAACAGAGCATGAGATACAGTGATCACAACCTAGCAAGAGTAAACATGCAGGTAGATATATATATAGTGATCACAGTACAAGCAAGGTCAAGAGGTAAGTAAGTGAGGTCCAGTAGGCACAAGGCCTAGCAGAGTGCAGAAGCGCTGATGGTCACAAGGCGGAAGCGCCTTGGTGAACACATCAGCAAGGTTGGCCTCAGTGGCCACGTAACGCAGACAAAGCTGACCGCGCTGCTGCAGCTCTCGAGCAAGGAAGTACCGCAGGGCGATGTGCTTCGTTCTGTGCTCCAGTCTGTGCTCCTCACACAAGGCAATGGCAGCCTGGTTGTCGACGTACAGCACTGGAGGAGAACGAGGCCGCTCACCCAAGTCGGTCAGCAGGTAGGTCAGCCAGCGTAGCTCCTGGGCAGCCATGGCTGTGGCGTAGATCTCAGCCTTACAACTGGAGCTGAGAACAGAAGAAGAGCGTGTAGAACGCCAAGAAACTGAGCCGGAGCCAAGGCTGAAGGTGTAACCCTGAGACGACCGCTGAGTAGCCTGGTCGTCCGCCCAAGAAGCGTCTGAGTGTCCAGTAAGTACAACTCGGTCTCGCCCTCCAAGCACTAGCCCCATGCCCGACGTACTGCACAAGTAGCGCAACACCCTCTTAGCGGCATCCATGTGCTCCTTCCTGTGACGGCCAGGAGCGACATAGCGTGCAAGGATGCTAAGAGGGTATGCAAGGTCAGGTCGAGTGCAGGTCATCAGGTACATGAGGCAGCCCACAAGCTCTGGATACGGGCCACTCGGCTCTACGGACTCATCCGAAGGCAGAGCTGAGAGCGAGTGACCGGTAGGCAGAGGAGTGGACTGAGGCGAGGAGTACGTGAAGCGGAAGCGCTGAAGGATCTGCTGCACCATGTGTGACTGAGTCAAGGTGATGGTGCGCCGTGCTCTGTCCCGGGTGATCCGCAAGCCAAGATAGCTTGTCAGTTCACCCAGGTCTGTACACGTGTGTCTCCTCTGCAGCTCCGACTTCACGTGGGCAAGTGCCGCGGTGTCAGCAGTGGCAAAGACCAAGTCGTTGACGTACACGAGGATGTAGAACGGCGGCAGTGAGGTGTCTGTGCGTAGAAACAGTGACGGGTCAGCAGTAGAGGGAGCGAACCCAAGAGCCGCAAGTGTCGTCCTCAATGTGTCGTGCCACTCACGCGGTGCCTGGCAGAGACCGTAGACCGGCCGCTGAAGCCTCCACTGGGTACCAGGAGGAACTGACCCAGTGAAGCCAGGAGGGCGGCGCAGCCAGATCTCCTCGTGCAGGCTGCCCTGCAAGAAAGCAGTGCTGAAGTCAAGTGAGTGAAGCTCGTAGTCGCGCTGAGCGGCTATGTGCAGCAGCACCCGAAGAGTGGTCATCTTCGGGGTGGGGGAGAAGGTCTGAAAGAAGTCAACTCCCTCTCGCTGACTGAAGCCTCGAGCCACGTAGCGCGCCTTGAAGACAGGAGGAGAACCCGGTGGCCGCTTCACCCTGAAAATCCACATGCCACTGACGATGTTCGCCCCAGGTGGGGGAACCTCGTCGACGTAGGTGCGTGTGGACTTCCAGGAAGCCATCTCTGCGTCCATGGCTGTCTGCCACTGAGAGGAGTAGGGACCCGCCATCGCCTCAGCGTAAGTGCGCGGGGTCGGGATGTCTGGTGCATCCGGGTCTCCCTCAGGGGCAACTAGCATGGACACGAGGTGGGGCAAAGCAGCAGCAAAACACTGGAACTCCTCCTGTCTATCCTCAAGGACGTCCGTGCCAAGAGCACACTCACCCCCGACGGACGGAGGACAGACAGACTCAGACTCAGACTCAGCAACAAGGCTAGTGGCGTAGTCTAGACGACACCGGGCAGCAAAGTCGATCAACTCAGCGACTAGAGCAGACGCAGCAGAGGACTCAAAGGTAGGGTCGGTGACAACAGTAGCGAGGAGACGGGTGACAGTGGGACTGGCAGCACGACGGGAGTCAGACTCCGGGTCAGGAAGAGTAGGCAGAGAGGAAGCAGGAGGAGACGGTAGCGGGACACGCTGAGGAGCAGTGGAGGACGCAGAGTCATGTAGTGAGTGCCAGGGACAGAAGGAGGACGCTCACGTGGGACACGACGACCAGTGCGAGTAGTACGAACAGGCGACGCAGGACGAGACTCAGGCTCACGACGCTCCGTAAGACCTCCCGTGGGACCAGTGTAAGGAGAGGGAGCAGGGAGAGGCGAGGCAGGCGGTAACTGTGACGGCGACTGGACACGCGGAGGACACTCTACTGAGGGAGGAGGACAAGGAGGAGGAGCCTGACCAAGAACCTGCTGAAGAAGTGGTACGAAGTACGGTCGCGGCCGCGTAGCGTCTCCAGAACCAGCAGAGACACCAGCGGCAGGGTCCTCAGCACCAGCAGCAGCTCCAACGTCCGGGTCCTCAACACCAGCAGCAGCTCCACCGGCCGGGTCCTCAGCACCAGCAGCAGCACCACCGCTCGGGTCCTCAGCTCCAGCAGTAGCTCCAACGTCCGAGTCCTCAGCACCAGCAGCAGCTCCACCGCCCGGGTCCTCAGCACCAGCAGCAGCTCCAGCGCCCGGGTCCTCAGCACCAGCAGCAGCTCCACCGCCCGGGTCCTCAGCACCAGCAGCAGCGCCACCGCTCGGGTCCGCAGTACCAGCAGCAGCTCCAACGCCCGGGTCCTCAGCACCAGCAGCAGCCCCAACGCCCGGGTCCTCAGCACCAGTAGCAGCGCCACCCCCAAGGTCCGCAGCACCCGGAGGACCACTCCGAAGACTGCAGCGGCGTGTGTACCACTCTCGTATCCGCTGAATGGGGGGGAGCTCCTGGGTAGGAGGGGAAGTACCGGGACGAGCTCCAGCCGCACCTGCAGCTGCTGGGAGGAGAGGGCTCCTCCAGGTGTAGCACGCTCAGTCTCAGCACCCCCAGACTCAGCACCCCCAGACTCCGCACCCCCAGGCTCCGCACCTCCAGGCTCCG